TTTGAAGCGGATATCTATCAGTTTGATTCAATTTATAAGATAACTGATGATATAATTTCACCTCTCATCATTTGACAATAGAATTATCTCTCATCATTTGACAATAGAATTATCTCTCATCATTTGACAATAGAATTATGAAAGGTTTAGTATGTATTATTAGATATTAGAGGGTATTAGCAGCTGATATCTCACAGTTAGATTCAGTATAACATAACTGATGATATAACTTCACCTTTCATCATTTATAATTTACAACTTAAGGAAAGACAATCTTAAGTTGTTATTATTATAAAATCATTGCTATTGATCATTGAATCATTATGTTTGAAAACACCCCTAACTTGAAAGGATCTTAGAAATTTTAAAAGGTTGCCATGTTAAATATGTTTCTTATTCTCTCAGTCAAACCAGCTTTTCTGTCTCTTCCAATAACTTCTGTCAAATTAAGTTACCTTGAATCAATATTTTCGTATGATCAATTTTAGGTCAAACGAATATAAGCCACAAGGAATAATGTAGTATATTTTGAGACGAAAGTTGTATTATATTTCTATAAGACTCTGCATGTTATGAATAATAATGAAGTTTTTAATGGGTAGTCTAGAACTATTGAGAACTTCATACTTTTTAAATTACATGTGGACTATAAGTATATTATAATAACAAGATGTAGACAGAGTGCTCTGTAGCCTTTATCAATTTAAAGATACTGTCTCTTGTCTCTTTACAATCTTGAGAGGTTTACAGTGAATCTTTGTTCAACTAACTCTAGGTTTTATTCTAGAGGGTGGTTCACAGTGATCCTTGTCTGTGTTATATTCTTGAGAGTGGTCCATTGTGGTACTATTGTCTGTTTTTATCAGTGGTTCCCAACCTTCCTTAGCCTTCACACCTCTAGAACAATCACCTGGACTTTTCACAACCCAAATATTTGTTTCATCCACATTTGCAGCATGTGATGATGTGAAGTGCTTTCTCAATTCAAACAAATTCTTCTTCTACACCAGTTGGCCACACCCCTGACACCCTAGTCCCAACAACCCCAGGGGTTGAAAACACCTCAGGTTGGGAGCCGGAGGTTTATAGAAACACCAGACATCACCTAACTCTGGGTTATATTCTAGATGGTGGTTCAACTGTACCATTGTCTTTTTATTGAAACACCAGACATCACCTAACTCTGGGTTATATTCTAGATGGTGGTTCAACTGTACCATTGTCTTTTTATTGAAACACCAGACATAACCTAACTCTAGGTTATATTCTAGATGGTGGTTCAACTGTACCATTGTCTTTTTATTGAAACACCAGACATCACCTAACTCTGGGTTATATTCTAGATGGTGGTTCAACTGTACCATTGTCTTTTTATTGAAACACCAGACATCACCTAACTCTGGGGTTATGATAATTTCTCAATATTATCAAAGGTGCTTCACAGTTTAAAGGCAGTGACTCAAAGTGATCCCTGGATTATCTGGATCATCTTACTCTTGGTTATATTTCAGAAAGTGGTTATTGTTGTACTGTTGTCACCTAGCTCTGTGTTATTTTTAAGATCACCTTTCACACTTATCCTAGCGGGTGAATTGTACTGTATTCACTTTGCTCTTGGTTATATTCCAACTTGATTTAAAATAGCGTCTCAATGCCACTATATCCCTGAGAGTTACTATTCTACTATATCTACCTTATCACAGATAATAATTCAAAGAATGAGGATTCATAAAAGCACCAAATTTATGATAATCATAGTTCGATAAAGTAGACTTTTCTTGTTAATGTTCTGAATAATGCCTAAAAATGCACCAATATCTGGTGTGACTGGTGTATGAATTTCAGTGGCGTTACATCTTTAAAAGCTAAGAAATATGTTGTAAAAGTTTTTTTTAATCACTTTATGAAAATCCCAAGGCTTTATAATCAACTTAAAGATATTCTACAGACTAGACGTGTTCAACGCTTTCATTTAATTATTCTGAAAGATCACGCCTGTTGTTAATTTTACGCTCGAAACCTACAAAAACATCAGATCCTAGCTAAAAATATCTTGTTATTGAATCAACGTTAACAACGACCCAACTGGTAATCTTATAGTAGATTTAATTTCCATGCATACTGTACAGTCATCTTCACAATGTCAAGGTATCAACAACTTCATCTTCACAATGTCAAGCTATCACCAACTTCATCTTCACAATGTCAAGCTATCACCAACTTCATCTTCACAATGTCAAGCTATTACCAACTACATCTTCACAATGTCAAGCTGTTACAAACTTCATCTTCACAATGTCAAGCTTAATATTGTAAAGATGAAGTTGGTAATAGCTTGACATTGTGAAGATGAAATGACGTTAGTGAAAGCTTGACATTGTGAAGATGACTATAGCTTGACATTGTGAAGATGACTATACCTTGACATTGTGAAGATGACTATACCTTGACATTGTGAAGATGACTATAGCTTGACATTGTGAAGATGACTATAGCTTGACATTGTGAAGATGACTATAGCTTGACATTGTGAAGATGACTATAGCTTGACATTGTGAAGATGACTATAGTTTGACATTGTGAAGATGAAGTTGGTAATAGCTTGTCTTTGAGAAGATGACTATAGCTTGACACTGTGAAGATGAATTTTGTAATAGCTTGACACTGTGAAGATGACTATAGCTTGACACTGTGAAGATGACTATAGTTTGACATTGTAAAGATGAAGTTTGTAATAGCTGGACATTGTGAAGAGGAAGTTTGTAATAGCTTGACATTGTGAAGATGAAGTTTGTGACATTGTGAAGATGAAGTTTGTAATAGCTTGACACTGTGAAGATGACTATAGCTTGACACTGTGAAGATGACTATAGTTTGACATTGTAAAGATGAAGTTTGTAATAGCTGGACATTGTGAAGAGGAAGTTTGTAATAGCTTGACATTCTGAAGATGAAGTTTGTAATAGCTTGACACTGTGAAGATGACTATACCTTGACATTGTGAAGATGACTATACTGGGTCCGATGTTTTTCTCAAGTCTGGTGGCCATTATTTTTTCATCTCATTAACTCCTGGTTTTTTTATGGCTGGTTTCTGAATATTTGATGGTTCTGTTGTATCAGGTTTTAGCTGGAGATTGTTGAAACTTCACATTTCCATTGATTAATATTTGAGGTCTGTTTTAGTAAATGAATTTATTTTTTTTATAGCAGGCATGCTCTCTTCAGATCATCTGTGTGAAATAAAGTGGTTTATTTTTCATCCTTAGCACCAGACTTGTGTAAAGTTCATATGTGTAAAATAATACTGTTAAGTTTTTATCCTGAGATCTGGATTTGTGTTTGTTGATATTTGTGTAGCAGCAGACCAGCTAGTCATGAGGATATAGCATTCTCAATTATTAGTTTAGCCCAACAAATCTTTACCAAGTCCCAGGATGTAATATATGGATGGGATATCAGCACAATGATTTAGATGTCTGGCTCTGTACTTGGCAACAGACAATTGTTAGGGTGGGGTCCGTGTTGGCTGGACCCCAGCAAGTGAGAATCAAGCCCCAGCAAAATCTTCTTCAGTTCAACATAGATTGATTCATTAACAGTGTCTCTGTACAAAATCAAAACAATATATGTTTTTAGCATCTCAAAATATTTAGAAATGAGTTCTCTGGGCCTTTAATGCTTTAAATTGTCTGAGTACAAAATCTGAGCCCCAGCATCAATTCATTCCTGGCGACGGGGCTGCTTGGTGATATCCCATCCATATATTCGGTCCGAAATTTGTCGGGCTATTAATAGTTAAAGTATTATGCCGCAATCTTTTGGAGTTTTAAAAAGGTTCACATGCCAGTCTATTGCCCCAACATTTTCATACTTTCATCTTTCTCTCTTTCAATAGACCCTTCTGTTTCTCCACTGTTTTTAAAATTGTATTAATACAAATTTCTAAAATCATTTGTTTCAGCAAGTTCTCAGTATTTATATATCCAAGGACAAATGCTTCTAGCTGTTGATATTTTATCACCACACTCATGTCTCAGTTTAATCGGCTTATGGGTCTTATCTTGTTTCTAAGTAAATTAAGCCTGGAAGGAACTTTAGAACTCTGGAACTGTCAGTTTGAAGGGCAGGTTATTAGGTCAGGTAGCTAGGGGGTCATCTTGTCAGGAATAGAGAATATTGTCAGTGAACAGATTTTGACGGAGGATTAAGGAATCTTGTAAATAAGGAGATAAAAATACTTCAATTTGTAAAGAGTTGTGATATAATTCTAAAAATATTTTGTTAAAGAGATTTCAGATTTATTGAATTTTGAAATGATGTACATCTTGTATTATATGTTCTATTTTGTGATTTGATTAAGGGTTTCTTTTATAAAATTTGAACAACATTTAGAACAAAAAACACACTGGAATATATCATGATATAACAACAAACACAAGGGAATATATCATGATATAACAACAAACACAAGGGAATATATGATGATATAACAACAAACACAAGGGAATATATCATGATATAACAACAAACACAAGGGAATATATGATGATATAACAACAAACACAAGGGAATATATCATGATATAACAACAAACACAAGGGAATATATCATGATATAACAACAAACACAAGGGAATATATGATGATATAACAACAAACACAAGGGAATATATCATGATATAACAACAAACACAAGGGAATATATATGATGATATAACAACAAACACAAGGGAATATATCATGATATAACAACAAACACAAGGGAATATATGATGATATAACACACTTCTTTAATAACAAAGTACAACCTTTCAACACACTAAATCAATTCACATTTTGTCTTGTATGTAAAGAAATTAGTGTTCCTGAATTTTAGAACTATTTAATATCACTCTTTATATTTCTTACAACATTTCCCTGAAATCTCTCAGAATTTTTCAAAGGTTTTTAAAAACTTTTTGAGAAAATATACAAATTTTGTGTTTCTTCTCGTTACAGCATCAGCAACCCTGAGATTCGATGGAACCCAGTTTGTGAAAGTATCAATGCCAGAAGAATCTTTGACAGAAGCCGAGGATATTTCTCTTCGATTCCGAACCATGCATCCAAATGGCTTGTTATTCATGACTACTTCTGTAAAAACAACAGATATAATGGAGTTATATTTAGAATCGGGTTCGATCAAGTTGAATGTAGACGTTGGCAGTGGCTCCAGGGTGAGTTATATAGAACTTTGTTGATTTTTCGTATCAAAATATTTTGAAATCCTCAGTAACTAGGTTTATCAATAAAGTAAATAGTAATAGTGTATTATCCTAGAGGTAGTAATAAAGACAGGATTATTGTCTAGAGAAATATTTGATATTCTGCACCTAGTTTAAACAACTTGTTCCTATCTTGTTGAATCCTTAAAGAACTAGGCCTGAAGGCAATATAATTTTTCAACCAGAGCCAACAATTTCAACTTCAACCATTTCTTGTTGAATGCTTCAAAAACGAGGCTTCAGAAATGAAAAATTTGAAACTGGAAAATGAAATGAAATGAATGGAGTTTTACGTCCTACTTTTCTGCCCCATTTGTTGAAACTGAGCAACAATTGCAAATCAGTGCAGCAAAATTTAGTCTAACATTAAATATAAATGATATTTGTACATTTTGACTCAAGGAAAGAAGAGATAATTTAATATAGATGTGCTGATATGTATCTCACTGTACATTACTTGAATCTTAATGATAAAACTTGCTGAATAGTTATATTATTTCATTTATCTTTCAAACAATAGTTTTGGTGCTCTGATGATAAACCTAAACCTACACTTCGTGGTCTTTGGTCTGTTTTTTGATTATCAGTCAAAACTAATCGTCTGAACACCTGATGCCACTCTGAGTTTGTTATCTCAGCATCCCATTTCAGAGAACCCATAAAGCTAATAATTCTTGATATTTTATTTCAGTCGTTAACAGTAGGTCATGTTTTGAACGATGATAGATGGCATACAGTGTTTATTAAACGCCGAGCCCAGACGATAGAAATAGCAATCGATGGTCATAGGCCTGTTACAGGTATGCTTTTATTTTTAATATATTTATTCAAAATGGTGATTTCTTTTAGGTGTCACAAAGTAAAATAAAAAGAATTATGAATTCTATGTTCAAAATTATGCACAAATGGAAGAGTTTTGTCTAACAATTAATTTAATTAAGAGTTGCCCCTGGTAAATTTTTGGAGAAAGTTTTGGAATTTTCACCTATCTTTAAGTTTAACAGCTGTTAGGCATTTATAGCAATTTATAAAAAGAGCAGATTTTGAAATAAATATGAATAAGATTTGAAGCAGCATGAATATTGAAATATCTTTTAAATTATCATAACATGTCAAAAAGAGTCATTAAGATTAACAATTCTAGGAACTTTACACTGCTTTTATAAATTTCATAAAGTATCAAACATTTTCAAGAAATTTAGTTAAAATCAACCAATAATTGTATGTCAGAATAAATTGAATGAATCGTTGCAGTTTATACAAATTTTCCTTTGACTAATAATTGCCATTTATATTGAGGAAGTTAATTTCCTATCGCAGTGGCGTATTGATCTTCCGATGACCTCAATCTTCTTTCCATACACCAGACGTAATAATTGCTGGCTGCAAATCCCCTGCTTTGATGGAAATGTAAGATAATCTCTGATTGGTTATTTACATATAGACATTGGATACGGTAACCATGCTATCGTTAATGCACTGTCAAATGGAAAACATGATAGACAATTAACGAATGACAAAGTGCACAGACATTGTGGTTGTGTAGACTGAAAATCATGATAGACAATTAACGAATGTGCTGGAATGCATCAACCACACGAATATGATTGTCAAAAGCACTATCATAAAGAGATCAGGTGTCTATAAAGGGTAAGCATGCCCTGCTGCAAATCAGACATATTCCTAGGGATGCAAAATAAACAAATTCCAAAACATTATGTTAACTCAGGAACAAATGTTAGCAGGTATAAGATGTTTCGTAAAGAATCGCCCCACAGATAGTCAGGTAATAAAAACTAAAAGAATAGAAATATCAAATGAAATTATATGGGTTTGCTCACTTAACATCTTCTTCGGTGTTCACATTTATAATGAATAAAATTGTGTTCCGTTATTCATTGTAAATGTGATCTCTACCCCTAAATGTCGCTAAAAGGAACATTACATTGATGTTCTTTTAAAAGTCTCCACAAGAAAAACACATAATTTTCCTCAAGATTTTGGAGACATTTTCTTAACAATGACAATTTGGCCAGATTTGGTTACAATTACTTCTTGTTGGCCTGTTTGACCCAGGGATTTGGTGAACATTGAGTATTTAAATCAAAGCAATTTACTTTCTGTCCGTCTGCTAGAAACAAACGAGAATGTAAGTTGTGATAATTAAAGGTCACGTTCCAATCAATAAGTAATTACAGACATGACCTGACATTACTTAAAGGAGCAGTCTCTCTTTCAATGGCGGTGGATAACCCCGTCAGACTCTAGACATTAGGTATTAAGAGATGAAAGCTGACTCCAGGCAAGCCAGCAAGAGATGCTTATCCTGTTTATTACTCTACAGCTGATGCTCACACTTCTAAGGGTTTTACAAAAACTTATCTCATTTGATTTCAATCTCCCTGTCATCTGATTGATTGAGTAAACAAGATAGATTTAATTTGACCAATCAAATTACTGAATATATGAAATTTTGACTTTATCTTAGTTTATTTTCTGAATCAGACCCTAGAACACCTAATAGTACCACTCTATTTAGATGTTCAGGTTTCAGACTCCAATTTTCATAGCCATTGATCAAGACAGAGGTTCTCTAACACAACTAGACAAAAACAATATTCATTCAGTTATTGTTTTTATAACAGTCTGTTTAACAAAAACTTAACTCGACTAATTTTCCAGTTCCATTCATCTGATTGGTCCATAACTACAATTGGTATTAAATGTATCTTTTTTTAGCCAATCAGATCACTGAATTTAAAAATCTTAAGTTTAGCTCATTTGAGCTTTCCTGAAACAGATTGTATATTGTATACAGATTTACGTAGCCATTGATCGAGACTGAGCTTCTTTAACACAACTAGACAAAAACAATATTTATTTAGTTATTGGTTTTATGATAAAGTTATTAGTTGACTGGACCAACACCAGAAACAAAATATTACAGAGTTCAATGGAAATATTATCCATGAGTTAATAGGTTTGAGTTCAAAGCAATAATTATTGACTTGAACATATTCTCGTTCAAAATAATTTTTACTTTTCTGTACTAATGCACTAGAAGGAGAAGAAATAAAACTGGACGAGTAGAACTTATTCTCGTGTCTATACTTCAAGACAAGTTCAAAATGTTTCTTTAAAGAAGTGTTCTTGTGGGCATTAATGATGGAAAACTATTCGATAAGACACAGGTTACATAGTCTAACAGAAGTTAAAACTGAGGACTATTGTGTTTCCTTAATAATATCTGACTATTTTTAAAAAGTTATTATTGAAATTTTTGTAGAGAAGTTACCAGGACAAGAGAACAGCCTATCTACTAGTTATATTATATTAGGATATACAGAAACCAGTGATATTTCTACCGGTATAATAAATATCGTGTTGTTGTATTCTAGGTGTCATGAAACACAAGATATATGGATAAACTCGTTCAGAATTTATTTACACTACATTATATATGTGACCTTTGATAATTAATATGCATATTGCACGTTAGTCGGTGATAGGACATGTCACAATAGGTGAATACGTGGTCACGATTTGTATCGTATCATACCACTTATAGCGTGATACGTATCATATTGTAGCGTAGTCGGCAATACCCAGCACAACTGTACATACTCGCTATGGTCACTGTAACATTTCCTGATTCCATGGCCACTGTTTTTATAGTTTGGGCTCTGTGACTAGAGTTATTTGAATAAGTCTATACATATATCTTGTGTTTCTTTATTTACTTGCCTATTACATTTTCTAGCCTTTCTATCTTATATTACAGTAATTATACACCTAGGTTACAGTTATTTATTGTAGGATATTTGTTCTCCTATGTTTTATTTCTGTATAAAAGTGATTATGTTTTGTTTTAGAATAATGTTATATATGATTGTAGATGCTTTTTGTTGTACTTTTAAAGAATCGAAAGATGGGACAGTGCAGTTTTTCTTTGGACTAAAAACTGTAACTCGACATGAGTCTAAAAAATATTTGACTATTATTATACGATAGCTCAGGGGAGAGAACTCTAATTAAGACATGTACTTTAACGAGATCTAGCATAGGAATTATCCAGATATATATTACTATGATAATTTTAGGTGATGGGAAATGAATTTAATCAAGAGATTTTTTTTAACATGAAGATAGTTAAGGGGAAAGAACTCTAATTAAGATAGTATACATTGACGTGAGCATGGGAAATATTCAAATATATTTTACTGCAGTGTAGTTAAAAGAAGTATTTAAATCAATATTAATGTGAAAACAGTTCAAGGGAAAGAACTCTAATTGAGAGTATACTTTGACGAGAGTCTAGGAAATATTTGAATAATTATTCAGCCTACCACAGGATAGTCAGGAAATGAATTTTAATCAAGAGATTTACATAATGTCTGAATAGTCCAAGGGACAGAACTCTAATTAAGAATTTGACAAGAGCATAGAAAATCTTGAAATATATATAAATGCAGGGTAAGGTAGTTAAAGGGAAAGAACTCTAATTAAGAGAGTATAGTTTGAATGAGAGTTGAAATTGATCAACAGTTCTGGCTTTTATTATTTATTTATTGATTAGAATTCTCAATTAACCTACGTATTGATTTCCGGCTGGTTATGTCCATCGTAACTTCGTAACGTCAAATTTACTCAGGTATATTGCCCTCCGAGGAAATTACCCGAGTAAGGATCATTTAGTGGTGAACATTTCAGGGTGCCATAACGTTGTTTTCGACGTAGTTTCGATGTTGTTCTTTAAGTTCCTTGCGTTTGTTTTCATAATGGAAATATTCGGTATGCATTTTTTTCTTTCAATTTCAAAATTCTACTTTTGTTTTTAATATTGGATTTGTGAACTGTTTTATTCTGAATATATATAACTTTGTTTTTCTTGATTTTCTATGATTATTATTGCTGAACTTTGTATGCTTTTGAATCTTGTTTGGTAGAAAATTAAAAGTGGTAATTCTGATTCTGAAGATTGTAATAATTATTTTGAAATGTCTAAGCTCTCGTCAACATAGTCAAGTTTTTTTCAATATAATTATGCAGATTCGTGATTTTGAGTTCCATCAGGTGATGTAGAAAATATCTAGATGATAACATGAAAACATAGATAACTATCTACCTTTAAGAATCAGTAAATCAATGACAAACTCAAACTGAAAGTAATTGACATTTATAACTTTGATAATAACGTTCGAATTGTCGACATTTTGATTAATTATTCATATTCTAACTTGAGGCTTTAATCTGGAAATGTCACATCACTTTAAATGTCATGTTAAAGTATTTCAAATCAAAGATGGCTGACATAATTCCTGATTTGTTATTTTGCAGGTGAATTACCAGGTGATGCGGAGGAATTGGAATTCCGAAATATCGACGTCGGACACGAAATGAAAGATGAGAATTCTGTCGGAGAACATTCCGGATTTATTGGCTCTATGCAACAATTTATTTTTAACAAAAATTATTTTTTTGAACTTGCAAAATCGGGACAGATAGAAAATATTGATGTGACCGCTAAATTTAGTAGCGATGATTACGTTGTTAGGGATCCTGTGACATTCAAATCAGCGTCTGCTTATGCTACGTTACCAACGTTACACGCATATAAAAAATTCTCTTTGTCGTTTCAATTTAAAACTACAGAGGAGTCTGGTTTAGTTTTGTTTAATTCGGGTCAAGGTCAGGATTTTTTCTGTATCGAACTTCACGGAGGATATTTATATTATATCTACAATATGGGAGCAGGAGCGCAGCGAATCATGATCAACTCGAAAGATAAGCTCAACAATAATAAATGGCACGAAGTTCGTCTGCTACGTCCAGAACTACACAAACAGCTGATCCGAATCGACGATAACACCCCAACAGTTGATAATCTAGGAGGTTCACAAGCTTTACATTTTGATTTGGAGGGTTCGCTATTTGTTGGTGGCGTCAGGAAAACGATGTATCATTCGTTACCGAAGATTATCACGTCCCGTCATGGCTTTCTGGGATGTCTAGGCTCGCTAGATTTAAATGGATATCTTCCTAATTTGGTAAAAGAAGCAGACACAATACATCAGTCTATTGTTGAAGGTTGTAAAGGTAAGAGCATTTTGTTTTTAAAAAAACAACTGTCATATTTTATTGAAAATTGTAAAATTATTGGAAAGTCAAGTTTCTAATTTGTTTTAGGCGCTGTTTTGAAAAAAGTCTTCATTGGAAAAAAAAATTAAATTCTTGAAATTTGAACCAGAAAGAACCATTCTATAAGAAATTGTTATAAATTTTCAGCTTGTAAACCGTGTATTTTCACAGATTGTCAATTCAGCTTTTTATTTACTAGTGATGCGTTAAAGGTGCTGTTTTAGAAAAAGTCTTCATAAGAGAAGACTGAATCCTCATTGAAACTAAATTCTTCAGATTTTCAAGCCAGGCATCTAATTACCAGAGGTGCCATTTTTTAAACTTCGGGAAACGAAACGAAGCCAGATAGGATATTGTTCAGATCAGTCATTAGGACTCAGACAACAAATATTTTCAGTTTGATTAATAAGATAACCATGAAATTTGCTATAGCATGCAGAAAATCATCATCTGTGATGAAAATCATTAACGTACAGCCGAAATTAGAAAAGTTGCAGTTTGTTGATTAAATATCCATCATTGATTAGACCCTAGTGAAATATATTGTGTCATGATGTAAATAATTTAACAGGGAAATGTTATGACTCAATCTAGATTGCACAGTCTCGTAGTACTTGTTGTCGATTTGGTTGTCAAAATACAAATTATTTTAGGTCCTTTTAAAAGTCATAAGATCTCTTTGGAAGAAACCATTTGCTTTGGGACCCCTTATGTTGTTTTCACTGTAAAATCATTGCCAAGAAGTTTGACCAAGAACCAGCGTGTATACAGGATCCCCGTAAACCTAAGTTGTTTTCCCTGTAAAATCATTATCAAAGGTTTTGGCCAACAGGATTATATTTTTCCTTGTAAAATAAATGCCAAGGCTTTGGCCAAAGGAGCAACTGGTAGAAAGGATCTTCATGAACCTCAGTTGTTATCCTTGAAATATCATTGCTAAGAGGTTTGGCCAAAGGAGCAACTGGTAGAAAGGATCCATGAGACCTCAGTTGTTATCCTTGAAATATCGTTGCTAAGAGGTTTGGCCAAAGGACCAACTGGTAGAAACAATCCATGAGACCTCAGTTGTCGTCCTTGAAATATCTTTGTCAAGAGGTTTGGCCAAAAGACCATCTGGTAGAAAGGATCCTCACGAGACCTTAGTTGTTATCTTTGAAATATCTTTGTCAAGAGGTTTAGCCAAAAGACCAACTGGTAGAAACGATCCATGAACCTCAGTTGTTATCTGTGGAATATATAGATGTTCTGTTCTATCTGTTTTAGGTCCGACAACTCAGTGTCAGGTTGATAGCTGTGGTAATAGAGGGCGCTGTGTACAGCAGTGGAATTCCTACGTCTGTGATTGTGACTCTACGTCTTACAGCGGGGAAACTTGTAAAGAAGGTGGGTAATTTATTAATATTTTATTAGGTCCCAGACTGAAAATTGGCAAAATTTGAGCTTTTAAAAAAATAGCGTTTAGTCCTTACATTATATTAATAAAAAACATCAATATAACGTTAACCTTAGCCATTCAATGAGTAGCTTTTGTTTGAGACAAGGCGAAAACTGCCTTATCGATGATTTTCATGGAAGCCTACAAGCCAACAAAATCCCATAGCTAGATGGAACTGATCGAAAATACTCAAAGACAATTAAGAACTTTTATATTTTCTTTGTTCCCTTTCAGAGAGTACATCCTATAGATTTGGTCCTGGTGAAGGTTTATTGACGTTCAGCTACCCAGCATACCAACGCCCTGATACAGTCGGGGATAATCTAGCGCTTGGGTTCAAGACTTTCTCTAAAGATGCTGTGTTGGTCAGAATTGATAGTGGAAATTTTGATGATTATGTTGAAATGGAATTGGTAAGTAACTTTAACCAAGTAATAATTAATTTGGGAAATTGTGAATATAAACTCTGTTTTCAGATTTATTATGTTTTAATGCTTGTAGTATACTGTCTCTTTATATTAGATTCAATATGAAGATCAAATTATCTCCCTTAAATATCCATTTTATTTGAGTATAATTTGTTTGAAGGTCAACGGTAATATCTTTGTGGTTTATAATATGGGAACAACAGATCATCCGATTGGAGAGATATTCAAACAAGTTAACGATGGGAAATATCATGTCATCAGATTTACACGGAGCGGACCGAATTCAACCATTCAGATTGACGATCTGATGATGCAAACTAAAAACCCGAAAGGTAAGTTAACGTTTTTATGCTCTTTATTCTTTTCAAGCTAACATGCTTCGCGAATTTCATAAAGAAAATGGTGGACCATTGAGAATATAACAAACAGCATGTACTGGATGAAAGTGTCTATTTCAAGGGACTTTATTCAAATGTAGACTTGTTTTGTTATGCCAAGCATAATTCAGCATGAGAGAGAGAGCAAAAATTATGACGTCTTAACTAAACTGTTATAAGAGATCTCATTGGTTTCAAAAAGGGCTTTACAATTTTTTGACCAATCAGATTTCTTAAATTATAAAGTGTGGATTATCATGTTTCTGGAATTATACTAAACTGTAGCAAATTTCTAAAAGCTGTAATTTATTGTCTGGTCAACAGGCTTTGAAAGCTGGTAAATCTACTAAACAATAGTAATATGTCAAGATTTGAATTATGCTTGGTTTCTGTATAAGTTGATATATTATATATTAATAGTTATCTGTATTAACTAATAATAAATCATTGTTATCATTATGCTAACCGGGATAATGTATCTGGAGATTTGATTAAATTCTTAATGTATTTGTATATTTGTAAATTTTTGTACAGTTATTTATTGAAATTGTACAGGTGTTCTTTCTCTTAAATTATAAACGTGGCTAAAATAAGTATGATATTCATCGGGGGATTTTTCTGCTGTCAAAACAATACAACAGAATCTCTCTATAATCTTTAAATCTTTAAATGGTTAAAATTGTATGTTTATTCTAAGGGGTAGAATACCTTTAAACAATATGATTAAGGTTTAAGCGCATTATTCCAGAAAACTTAACTAAAGATCGAGTCATCTGATTGGTCAATCACCCCAATTGATAGTATATTTAGTTTTATTATCCAATCAGATTACTGTATTTTTTAAATCTGGATGTTTATCTTCGTTAAGTCTTTTAGAATAAGGCCCCTGTATTATTAATTGCACAGTTAGGCTGTGTTTAATTAGGAATATGTTTCATAGTATTTGTTGTTCTTCTACTAAGCAAGTCAGAAGTGAACATTGTACTACTATGTGTGGAGTTCTCTCCCTTTATATATTACAGTAATGTTTTTTGTTGCATTGATTAAATTATCCTATTTCTTTACTTGTATTTATTGTATGGAAGTTGTATTTATTGTATGGAAGTTGTATTTATTGTATGGAAGTTGTATTTATTGTATGGAAGTTGTATTTATTGTATGGAAGTTGTATTCATTGTATGGAAGTTGTATTCATTGTATGGAAGTTGTATTTATTGTATGGAAGTTGTATTCATTGTATGGAAGTTGTATTCATTGTATGGAAGTTGTATTCATTGTATGGAAGTTGTATTATTGTATGGAAGTTGTATTTATTGTATGGAAGTTGTATTTATTGTATGGAAGTTGTATTTATTGTATGGAAGTTGTATTTATTGTATGGAAGTTGTATTCATTGTATGGAAGTTGTATTCATTGTATGGAAGTTGTATTATTGTATGGAAGTTGTATTTATTGTATGGAAGTTGTATTTATTGTATGGAAGTTGTATTTATTGTATGGAAGTTGTATTTATTGTATGGAAGTGTA